AGGGGAGTGGGGTCTGGTGGGTTAGAGCAGGGGGGGCTGGGAGCCAGAACTCCTGGGTTCTCTCCCTGGTTCTGGGAGAGGAGTGGGGTCTAGTGGGTTAAAGCAGGAGGGCTGGGGGCCAGAACTCCTGGGTTCTCTCTCTGGCTCTGAGAGAGGAAAAACAGGAGCCACTTTGTGGGAAGGGAGGCAAAGGGGCCGACCTCATTGACCCTAGTGTCCCTCTCTCTCAACCTAGTTTGACTCCGGGGGGCCTCTGGTCTGTCCAAGGAATGGCAGCTTCGTCCTGACTGGGATCATCAGCTGGGGCAGAGACTCCCCACCCCCACTCCCAAGGGTGTACGTCCAGGTCCCAGTCTATGTCAACTGGATCCAGAATGTCACGGGTGACGCTGGCCTCTCGATCGTCTCTCCTGCTGTACTCAGTCCCGGTACTACCCCACTGGGGTCCCTCAGCAATAGCTTAGTCTGCTCATGCCTAGCGCTGGCTCTGGCTGCACCACTCCTTGCTGGGCTCCTGCTGACAGCCCTGTGACCTGCCCCATTGGGGCTCCCACCCATGCCAACCCCCTGGAACAGATGCACCTCCAGGTCACATGGGAACCCCCCGCCAGCCGGGGTGTGTATAGACCCCCCTTGGCACCAGGTCTGGGCCCCACATTGCTGGGGCCTGTGGGACATGGCTGGGAGAGGGTGGTGGATGGAAGCTGAGGGGGTAGCTATGGGGAGTGGGGAGCGCAGGGGAAAAGGGGTCATATCCAGCCCTTCCTGCAACTTTGCAATACCTCCCGCCCCGGGGTGATTGGGATGCCAGTGGGGAAGGGCCCCACAGCCGCTTTGATCCCACCGGTTGTGCTCCGAAAATCATCAATAAATCGGCTTTGCAAATTCTGTCTCCTCCCAGCAGCAGCTGCGACCTGCCCCACAGCAGCTGGTGCCGGCTCCCGCTCGGGCCAGTCCTGCCACCGTCACCGCCTCCCACTGGCTCCACTGCTTGGTATTAGCGGTGGGATAGCGGAGTGTGGGCACTGCCCATCGCGCTGGGGGCTGTGCAGCCCGCCCCCCACCGAGATTGGGGCCCCCGTTGTGTCAGGCGCTGTACAGCCACTGACCAAGATCAGGGCCCCTGGGCACAGACACGCCCCCCCCCCAACTGAGCTCAGTCCCTGCATCATGCTTGGCACTGCACAGACCTTCTCCCCGACCAAAACCTGGGTCCCCATCGTGCCAGGCACAGCTCTGACTTCCCAGACTGAGTGGGAATTTTCTGAAATATTTTTACAGTCCCTAGCTGTACCTCAGTTTCCCCTGCATGCCGCATTGTTTCCCCGTGTGTGGGAAAGGACTGTTTGCTCTCAGGGCAGGCTAGAGACACCACCCTCCCCTGCGCTGGGAAATTCGGTCAGTATCACTAGGTCACTCAGCAGTGTGAAAAATCCACACACACCCCCGGGCAAGTTAAACTGACCTAACCCCGGGCGTCGCCAGCTCTAGGTCAGTGGGTGAATTCTCCCTTCGCCCCAGCTATGGGCTCTCGGGGAAGTGGATTAACTACACTGATGAGAGACCCCCTGCAGCATTTCAAGTGTAGACAAGCCCTGAGGCGTGACTGTCGCCTCGCTGTCTGAGCCTGGCCAGGGCACTGGAAAAGGACGGGCCAACCCCATGTCAGTGGAGAATCCATGAAGATGATGGAAAATCCAACCACCAGCCATTGATACCTGGTGGCCAGCGCCCCAGCGGGAGATGGATTTCCCCACCTCTCAGCAGGGAAGCCGAGAAGAACCCCCCAGCTCCAGAACAAAGGACTGGGGAAGGGTGGGGGGGGGATAAGGGTTGAGTGCTGGAGAGAGTCAGGGTTCACACCTGGGGACTGACCCAGGGTGTCAGACAGAGCTTGAACATGGGGTTCACTACAGCACGGCTGGGCCTCTGGGCTGACCAGAATGGGCCATGGTTTATCTGTGCTCCCCAAAGAACCCCATGTGCTGTGTGCCAGGTGACTAACAAACCCAAGTATTTTGCTGAAGGGGATCCTCCTAGAGACAGTTCCAAAGCTGGGGCCGTAGCACCGATCCTGTGGCTCTGTGACAGATGGTGGCAGCGGTGGGATGCTGAATGCACTAGGAGTATTGTGACCTGCAGCAGTTAAACTAGGGTAGTCAAAGGAAACAGGAAGAGACTGGTGTATAACCAGCTCTCTAAGAAGAATATTGCCAAACTGTGCAGGAATAAAACGGTGGGTGCCGGGGAGCTCAACAAGGTGCAGCTGATTTCACAGGAGAACCCAGAGAAGGGTCATTGGGGAAAGGCCCCGGATGCCAGTTGTACAGGGAACCTGATACCAAATTGTTGCCCAGGGTAAGGAGGGGGTGGCTGCCCTGGGACACACGCTCAGGTGTTAGCTGGTAACTGACTGGTGTGTGCGTGGTTACTTGCTTTAGCCAGTCAATAACTCTCTTCTTCCTCTTCCACAGTAAATAAACCTTTAGCTCGTATATTACAGGACTGGCTAAAGATGCTGTCTTTAGTGTAGGGTCTGGGGCACCAATTGAGCTGGGGTTAGTGACTGGTGTCCTGGGACTGTGGTGGGATTTTTGGGACCATTCATCATGAAGTGCAGTTTGTCTGGGTGGCAAGATAGACTGGAGAGGCTAAGGGGCCTGTCTGTGACCCCATGGTGAGACTGTCACATTTGTTACTGGCTTGGTGAAATTATACAACATACCACCACTCTGGGGTGTCTGCCCTGTTTTTGACAGTCTGCCCTGAGATAGGCACTCACAGTCATGAACCACACTGGACTGCATGACAATGGCATGAGCAAAGAACCCAGCATCCTGACTCCCCAAAACACCTGCTCTAACCCCCTAGCCCCCACTCCTCTCCCAGAGCTGGGGAGAGAACCCAGGAGTCCTGGCTTCCAGCCTCATTCTCATGCCATGTCTCCAGGGCAGGTAAGGCTGGAGTTTTGCGGTGGGTGTCTTACCTGTCTGCTTCCAACTCCCCTGAGCACCTGGGGAGCAAAATAAGAGAAGAGGAAGATATTACTGAGTGTGCAGGGGCAGATGAGGGTGGGGACATCCAGAGGAATTCCTGGGACCTGACAAAGTGTGTGGAGGGGAATGAGTGTCAGTAGCTCCACCCACAATTCCCCAGACTCCACCCACTGCCCCAGGACAGCCCTGCTGTCCTCACGCCAGCCAAAATTCCACATCTGCCCTGGGAACGTGCAATGGGAATGAGATTGGCAGCCAGGAATCCTGGGTCCTATCCATAGGCATGTGCAGCACATTTCATTAGGGTGTGCACCCAGGGAAATTTTTTTTTAAAGGCGAACATCATAAAGGTTGGGGTGTGGGAGGGAGTGCAGGGTATGGGAGGGGGTGCGGTGTGCAGGAAGAGGCTCACGGCAAGAGATTGGGGCAGAGGAGGGGTGCGGGCTGTATGAGGGGGCTCAGGGCAGGGGGTTGGGGTGCAGGAGGGATGCAGGAGTGCAGGGAGGGGGCTCGGTCAGGGGGTTGGGATGCAGGAGGGGTGTGGGGTGCAGGCAGGGGGCTCAGGGCAGGGAGTTGGGGGGCAGGGGGCAGGGGGGTTCAGGGCAGGGGGTTGGGGTGTGGGGTGCAGGCAGGGGGCTCAGGGCAGGGGGTTGGAATGCAGGAGGGGTGTGGGGTGTGGCAGGGGGCTCAAAGCAGGGAGTTGTGGGGAAGGAGGCAGGAGGGTTTCGGGCTCCAGCCTGGCTCCGCTTACCTGCAGCGGCGCGCTCCCTGCCTATCTACCTGCCCTGGCCCCATGCCGCGCCGCGCCACTCACCACGTCCCTGCGCAGCCCCTGGGGGGAGGGGGAACAGGGCTCCGCACGCTGCCCTTGCCACGCCTCCAGGTACCTCCCATGAAGCTCCCATTGGTCACGGTTCCCTGTTGCCGGCCAATGGGAGCTGCGGGGGGTGTGCCTGGAGCAACACACAGAGTCCTCTGTCCCCCCCCCCCTCCCGGGCCCCAGGGACGTGGTGCCGTGCCGGCCGCTTCTGAGAGCAGGGCGGGGCCTGTGGCACCACAGGGGGCAAATCCCGCGGGCCGGATCCAAAGCCCTGAGGGGCCGGATCCGGCCCATGGGCATTAGGGTGTGCCTGGGCACACCCGGCACACCCCGTGTGCACGCCTATGGTCCTATCCCAGCTGTGGGAGGGAAGTGAGATGGGATAAGGTGGTATCATTGGGGTTAGGGACAAGACTTAAGGTTGTCATAGGGCTAAGGTTATAATGGGGTCAAGGTTAAGAGTATCATTGGCTGAAGGTTCTCATGGGGGTGAGGTTCTGGATTGAAATGTGGCATTTCTCTTTCTTTCTTTCTTTCTTTCTTTCTTTCTTTCTTTCTTTCTTTCTTTCTTTTCTTTTCTTTCTTTCTTTCTTTCTTTCCCACCTACTGGCAGAACAAAGACAGGATGAGTTAACGTTTTACCAAGATGGTTTGTGTTAATTTAATTGGCCTATGCAAATAACACTTTTACCTTTAAGGGGCTGTGCCCATGAATTACAAGGGAACCCAGGTGATTCCAGCCTCATTGCATTCTGCTTCCCAGAATGAGCCCTCGGATTTCAACGGGACGCAGGGTTCTCTCTTTTCAGTTTCTGTTCTCCCTTGATAGCACCTCCCTTTACCTATGATGACCTTTACCCCATGCTAACTGTATCCCTAATCCCTCCCATGATAACCTTAACCTAACCTCCCTGGAAGCCTCACCCCCATAATAATCCCAGCCCTACATGCTCTTTCTTCACTCCCTAAGCACTTGTGACAGACATGCCCAAACTCTCCCAGCCTCGTGATGGCAGGGGTGTTATATCTGTGTCAGATCATGTACCCTGAAAGGGGCGCGTGGGGTCTCTGAGGTCCAGCTTATTGTCATGGACGTTGCGATATGTTTGTGTGGGGAACAATTTCAGAGCTAGGTAACGTAGGCTGTTGTGTTCCACATCTGATGGGGCATCTGAAGACCGGACACCCATGGAGACAACCTTTGAGTACTGTCCCGATGACGCAGGCTGGAGATTCACAGAGACAAATGAACTCCTGGAGAGCGCTCAGCAGAGGGGACCGCCTGGGCTAAGATGCATTAGCTTGTGACTGGATAAGAGCAGAAGATCAGCCCATGTGGTTATTCATTACGGGGAAGTGGTGGATCTAACAAATGGTGAATCCGAGCATTATGGGCTGGACAAACACTGGGAGAAGTAACCATTGGGGGAGAAACACCCTATCAGACAGGCAGAACAAGACCCAGTGGCTGGAAGGTGAAAAGAGACAAATTCGTATTACAAATAAAGCACAAATATTCAACAGCGAGAATGATTCACCACAGGAACAAACTACCAAGGAAAGTGGTGGATTCGCCCTCTCTTGATGACATTTAATGAAGACTAGATGCCTTTCTGGAATGTGTTTGCCCCCAAAGTAGCTATGGTGTCATACAGGAGGCCTGTGACATGCTGGGGGTCAGATTAGATGCTCTAATGGTCTCTTCTGGCCATCAAGTCTACTAATTTCTGAAAAACGGAGTGTGGCATTGGGAGCAGCGTCTGAGGTTTTACTGTCTAGTCGGCTCGCTTCCTAAAATGAACACGCCTTGAGTGGGGTGATCCACAGGGAGTAG